ACGCTTAACTTCCCTTCTAGCAATGGAGTTACCCAAAGATCTCCTCAAATCTTCAGTCAGTATAAATATAATATACAGGGTGAGTCCAGCTAGGGGAGACAAAAATGGTAGAACATAGTGCAACACTGTGTAACCCAATATGGCAAATATCTATGAGCCAATGGGTGACTCACACTTTGGAGCCAAATAAAGAGCCTTCAGAAATCTTTGGATGTATGTCTTCTCAATTCATGGAGTTTATTGATGTGGGTCTCATTCATATAACGTTCAAGGTAAAATCAAGTCCAACGCGTTTCATCCCTCTCAGGGACTATTTCTTGTTTGAAGATAGGTGCCAAATACAGAAAAACTAAGAAGTCCCTGAGAGGGATGAAACGCGTTGGACTTGATTTTACCTTGAACTTCTTGATGCCAGTTGTCATTTACTTCTGTGTAAGTAAATACATTTTGTACTGTACACTTGATCCGTATATTAATCTCATTTGGTTGCACTTTATCTATTTTATATGAATGAGACCCACATCAATAAACTCCATGAATTGAGAAGACATACATCCAAAGATTTCTGAAGGCTCTTTATTTGGCTCCAAAGTGTGAGTGACGCCATGGGCTCGGAGGTTTTGCCAAGGGCCTCCAAGCTCCCACCAAATGCCACAGTAAAGATGTTGTTATACTACCTTCCAAGTCCAAAGAGAAAACACTTATTAAGCGCTCAAAATGAGTGGTGGTGTCGGAACCACCCTCTCAAATGCTGTCCTCTGAGGAGGAAGATGCTTGCCCTTCTGCCACATTTAACATTCTTGATGAATGGCGTCATAGAGGGAAGATGACTCTGGCAGGACCTGCCTCCCACAAATTCTGAATATGTCAGGGAATCGTTTGTGCTCGACCCTTTAGATGAGACGCGTGATTCTTCCTAGATGGATTGTTCCTGGACACTTAAGGATGTACATTATTTGTCCCAAGAACTGTACGGTACCTAAGATCATTGGAATGCACCCTCCTTATGTATTTGGTTAAATTCATCTACTGCTGGATCTGACAGCCTATAGATCGGGAGGTCACACCTGGATTTGACCATACGGTGTTGATATCTATGTCCTGGACTGGACGCGAATCCCGCAGTGATTGGAGAAGAGGTTATAAGCATCCTAAGATAAATTACTTGGACTACTGGGCCCTTTGGCGAAAATCCTCCACTTAGCAGATCTGGCCCTCTTGCAAGGTACCCTACTCAATCCAAACGCAGTGGGTGAAAGCAGTATTTGCCTATTAGGAAATAACAACATTGCTCTCTGCACCGAGAGGCGCAGGGCGGCACTTTTACGACGTGATGTGAAACTCATGAATATGGCCACTAAGGAACTTGGACCGTCAGCCAATTACCTCCTATTTTGTGACTCATTCATCACAAGGCCCAGACCTCCCACGTTATTTCACCAGCCTTCCATTTGGACTAAGCCCCATAGTGTTTCACAAAGCTCCTGAAGCTGGTCATGGCTAATCTACATGGATGGCTACTCTTCTGCGACTCGACCTCTTATCTTATACCTCAGATGAACTTTGTTGTAGGCTTTCTTGATTCGCTGGTCTTCATAGGTTGTTCAATTTCTTTGATTCAAGATAGACTTGATAGCATGTGTACTCTGCCTACTTCTCACAAAGATTGCAGTCATCCGGAAGAGATTCGGAAAATACTTTGGGTGGACCACATCACACTCCTGTTTTTCACTCGAAATATGGGCCTTCTATCTGCCTCGATTTATGCGATTTACCCTGGCCCTTTGCACTACAGGACAATGCAATGGCTCAAAGTATACTATCTACGTGCTGGTTTGTCGTATGATCAGATGGTACCTCTCAACCTCGACTTTTGCATGCAACTCAGCTGGTGCCTCCTTCATATGCATACCTGGAATGTTTGATCCATCACCAGATTTCGTGGTGGCATCAGACGCCAGCCTGGTGGGCACATGGTGCAGACTCGTCCACCAGTGGTCCGTAGTTGGACCAGTGCCTAGTACTGGTCATAGGATCCTTCGC